ATTGCCCTGCCCTAGCTCCCTAGTGCCAGCAGCACTCATGCAGCCCCAAACAATGACATCCCACCACCATGCTTGACTGTAGGCAAGAAACACTTGTCTTTGTACTCCTCACCTGGTTGTCCTTAGTCTACTTGTCTTCAGCAAATTGTTTGCAAGCTTTTTTGTGCATTATCTTTAGGAGAGGCTTCCTTCTGGGATGACAGCCATGGGATGCTGTGTGCGGGGTATAGTCTGAGCACTGACAGGCTGATCCTCCATGCCTTCAACCTCTGCAGCAATGCTGGCAGCACTCATGCATCTATTTTCAAAAGACAACCTGACGCTGAGCATGTGCAATCAACTTTTTTCGACCATGGCAAGGTTTGTTCTGAGTGGAACATGTCCTGTTAAACCGTTGTATGGCCTTGGCCACCGTGCTGCAGCTCAGTTTCAGTGTGCTGGGTATATTCTTTGCCATGATGTGCCATGTTAAACTTCCAGTGAACAGTATGAAAGTGTGAGAGCAATAACACCAAATTCAACACACCGGTTCCCCATTTGAACCTGAGACCTTGTAACACTAACGAGTCACATGACACCAGGGAGGGAAAATGGCTAATTGAGCACAATTTGGACATTTTCACTTAGGGGTGTACTCACTTACTTTTAGGCAATAATGGCTGTGTGTTGAGCAATGTTCCCTCTAATTTTTCATGTGTCTGAGTGAACACACAAACTTCCTGAGCGGACACTTGGACCACTGTGAGCAACAGCAGACGTGTGCACTGTGATCACGCCGCCATTAAATTTATCCAAGGTACATGCTTTATTAAAATAATTAAATTATAGCATTTACATTTATGTTAGACTACTTTTAATTAACTGCTTTAGCCCACTTACAATGAAAATTAAAACAAATCTTGTTCATGACCTGCGTAGTATGTTAACACTATTGGAAGTAAAAATAACTTGAACTCCAATTTTGAAAACACAACTTTCTTTTTTTTTTCTTTTTTTTGTTATAAAGCTCTGACCTGTATTATGAGTATGAGTCTGTGGTCTGGGAGAGAATCCTGTAACTCTCTGTCTGCTAAATACAGTAAATAATACATATATGTGTAAAAAGTATGTACGAGCTGTGAAAACTGTTTCTGATAGAAGGAAGAATAGACTGATATGGGTGAGAAAATCATACCATGCCATAACTGCTTTAAGTCATACAGAATAGATATCAGAGCCTTAAACAGGCTGACTTCTGCTAAATGGGACAAACTGGGCAGAAAGTCTACAAACACATAAAATCCTTATAGAATATGATGTAACACTATAGATCAACTTACCTCAGAATATATAAACAATTACAGCAATATGATGCAACAAACACAGCAGTACTACTAATCCAAAATACTCAAAGCTTCATAGAACTGAAACAAACATTTATTTTTAGGTCCATTCTGCTGCTGATACATACTTTAGATTTCTGGACATTAAACGTGTTGCTGCCTTTCATAGTGTGTAACTTGAAGGCCCTGAGTACTTTCTCCCACACTGAAAACACTGGAATGATAAAATTATTTGAACATTACCTAATAATATAGAATCAGGACAGACAGTTAGTGATTTTAAACTTTTCTAGCAGTCCTTCACAAACAGGGAACACTGTCTATTCTCTCCATCTGTCAGCTGCTGCTGGCTCCTTCTCCTCCTCTTCCTCACACACTGCTGAGTTTGTCCTGGTGGATCATCAGGGGTGCAAAGCCTCACAGATGATGTGCAGCAGTGGGTCCCTCAGTCTGTCCTCACTCTGGACACTTGCAGTTGTCACACATGGAAATCAAATGTGTGATAAGCTGCAGAATTCAAACACAAGTGTAACTTATAAATAC